CGTCTAATCGCGATACTTAGTATTATCAAATTAATGCTTCAAAATAAAGGAATACTGAAATAGATCACTAAATATTTTTGATTAAAAAAAGTGATCCATTGAAACTGAATCAAACAAGTAATTCCAACAATTTAGACTATCCGCTTATTTAACTAAATCATATACCGATTGCTAATTATATAGTTATTGATGATAAAAATGGTATGAGTTTCTATCACAACTAAAGTGGCAGAAGGATAGGCTTTTTAAAAACATACTTCACAACAGATGAATTATCTATATTAAAACAAGTTTATGTTGAAGATTTATTACTCTATGATACACTCTTGCAGGATTTGAACGATTTGAATTCATATCTTAAGTTTTATCCAGGAATTGGTAATATTTTTAACAAAGTTGCTTTAGACCCTTAAATTCTTGAATTTATTGCTAAGAAACTTGCTTTAATGGACAAAAGTGAGATTCCAATAATTTTGATGAACCCTCATTATGATGATGAGAATTCCCCTATAGATGTTGCTTGTAGATAAAATCAATTAAAAAGTTTAAAAATTCTACTAGAACTTATCACCAATTATTAGAATGATCATGGATTCAATTATTTGATTGACAATAATCTAGTCTACTTTATTGAAAAAGGTCTTGAATTGTCAGAATATTTCGAGAGTACTTTGTCAATATTTTAGTTAAAAAGAGAATAATTAACTCAAGAGCAATAGGACTCTAAGGATTGTATATAGAGTCTGAATGAATTATCTATTACTAAAAATGTCAAAAAAAATGATAAGATAATTCAATTTAATTAGTAAAAAAAATAATCTGAGAGTCAAACCTCTATTGAATACTACCTTATTAATCTGCCTAAGACTCTTTAAAAATTGGATCTCATTAAAGCTCTTAGTATTTCTTAAAAACTTGAGTACTTTGACAATCTCACTATTTAAACAATCATTAAATTTAAATGGAAATAATATACCTGAGGTTATTTTTAGAGATAATTTTTTATCTTTTTGATATTTGTAGCTTCTTTTTTATTCGAGATTTCACATTCAATTAGATGTGGCAAAACTTAACCTTCAACATCATTTATTGAAAAGTTATTTGGGCTCTATATTTACCCAGATTCAAGAGATTTTACTACAATGATGACAAATAAATGCATTTGTAGTATGGTTTTAGTTTATTTACTTTGCTATGAAGTTTAATAATGCTTTAAACAAAAAGGAGATTATTTTTAAGATAGATGGAATTTCATTGATTTTCCACTGATAATATTTTATGCAATTCTCAATGTTTTTGAATTTTATTCAGAAGATAAGGATTAAATTGTTATTTTACATATAATTATAGTTTTTTTGATATTCCTTAAAATAAATTTTTATCTTAGAATCTACGATCAATTGTGCCTTTTAATATCAATGATGATCAATGTCATATATGATGTTCTATTGTTTATATTATTTTTTGTAATTTTCATTTTCTAGTTTGGATTTATATTTCTCATTCTTTTAAACGATGATAAAATGGAAGAATATAAAGATATTGGAACTGCTGGTTATTTTATAATGATTTTTAGAAGCTCTTTAGGTGATTTTACTCTTGAAAATCACTAAAATTAGGATTCGAAAACTATGACAATCATAACATGGACAATATGGTTGATTACAGTTATGATTATAAATATTGTTTTTATGAATTTCATAATTGCTGTCATCTCAGATTCATATGAGAAAATGCTGTAGAAATCAGTTGGATAGTCCTACTAAGTTAAAGCAAAATTAATTAAGGAGAGAGAATGGTTTTTAAATCCTGCCAAAGATCAGATTAATTTCCCTAAGTATTTAATTTTAAGAAAGCCTATCATAAGTTCTGAAGATGATTCAGGTAACATAAATTAATTAAATTTCAAATTATAGGAGAATGGTAAGGGTTTATCAAAGATTTAAAAAATACTATCAAAACATCTACCTAAAAGTTGACCGGAGAGATCACACAAAATGTAATACCTATTCAAAGCAGAATTCAGAGTTTAGAAAAAAGTTAAAATTAAAAGATTGATAGTC